CTAGAAATATATTAATTAGGGAGAGAACGCTAAGGAATATACTTGCTGAGCAAAGTGGTCACAGGTCCAATGCCTGTCAGAGCTAGTAAGAAGGAACTTAAAGGGGATCAATTTGGCAAGGTGATATATTGAGCACCATGAAGATGCCACTCCAGTGGGCTCCACAGCCAACCCAATGGGAGCTGCTAAGGGGAAAACTTGCTGCTGATTGTACCTGGTTTAAATTGACGTGAACAAACACTTGAAGAGCTAGGTTTTTCCCAACATCCAAAAGATGAGCATAAAAGATGTATACAGGCAGTTCCCGGGTTACATGGATCCGACTTACATCGGATCCCTACTTACAAACGGGGTGAGGCAACCCCGCATTAGCTGCTTCCCCCCAGCAGACCAGGGAGACGCGAAGCTAGCGCCCTCCCCCCAGAAAACCAGGGAGACGCAGAGCGGCTTTTCTCAGCAGACACCTCAGCTTGAGAATAAAGGACTGAGGGAAGTGAGGTGTGGGAGAATAAAACTGAGCTCTGGAGAAATGTTTGGCTAGAGTTTCCCCTACAATATGTACCAGTTCCGACTTACATACAAATTCAACTTAAGAACAAACCTACAGTCCCTATCTTGTACGTAACCCGGGGACTGCCTGTACTTTGTTTTTCACATTTTCTTGTAATCTTGGCAGCCACTTTTAGGTATTAACTATCTGTCAAAAGCAAATATGCCATTTTTTTATTTTCCAAGTTTAACTCCTTTATTAAGCAAGTTCACCTGCCTTCATTTTTCCTTTGGCTTGTCAACAATTTACAGAACTCTGGCTGAATCTCTCTAAACTAGCACACTAACTCTGATTTATGGATAATATTCATTGCTTTATTGTGACACTTCTGATCCCTGAACTTTTGATGCCAGAAAAAATTGTCAATAGAAATCAAAGTAATATTTTTGCCTTCAAAGTTCAGTGTTCATAATGCTGTGGGTTATAAACATCTCTTACAATACAGAGGTATCACGCAGAGTAATTAAAATTATTCCCTAGCATTTGTTGTCAAAGTAGAGATTTGAAGTCGTGCCCATATTCAAGCACAACATACTTCCTAACTAAAGTTCTCTTGACATTCAAGTTGATTACAGCATTCATGACTGCGGCTCTTAAAATGAGATTATTTTTTAAAGGATATTATTTTGCTAATGCTGAATAGCTTTTATGTTTACACCAGATGACTAAGAAATCCCTATAGAATATGGTATTTACAAAGTACCTTGTTATCCTTCAGGGTGAAAGGCACAGTACACACTGCTGTACTTTTAAGCAAACTCATTGTTTAAGGGGTGTCAGAGTCATCTCCAGGATTGAAGACTACAGAGCGGAAACAGTCTACAGAGCCAGCAACTTGCAAGCGGTCAATATACACTGCCCTGCCAACAGGTCTTACCTCTGATTTACAGGAGCCATCTTTTAAAGTTGAAAACACAGTTCACTTTCCATGTCCATTCAGTCGTTAGCTGCTCTGCCCCTAAGTTGATAAGCAGCACCATTTATGAGGATGATATATGGAGACACATGCTCACTGGGAACTAATCTGAAACTAGCAACTCATTTCACAAAGTCTATTGAATAATGGGTTTATAAACCTTTTCAGGAATGTATTTACACCGTATATTTTAAAAAAACCAGCTGCCAACTCTCCCATTTTGGAGATGCAAATTGTACTTATATAACGTACACCCATATTTGTGTGTCCCAAAATAAATCGCTTTTAAGAAGTACCACACAATCAGGAAGCTAGAGAAGAATGTGCATGGATTTGCACTTGCACTTCAACCATGGATGTAAAAATTCAGACATCTTTCTGGCACAAATTGTGCCCTCAAAAGAAAAGCGCTTGAACATGTTTATCCTGCTACATGTTGTTTTCTTAATAGCAATAAAAAAAGATCATTTGAAGTTAAATTAATTTTCATTACCTAGACATCCTATTTCAAACAAGATGCCTGGAATTAATTTCTGCTGTTGTGATGTTCTTAGAGCAGTTTCCACAAGACAGGTCTTCTTTTAAATGCTTCAATTAATTTAATAAACAAGGAGAAGCTGCAAAACGGGCAGGATCATAATTAAAGCGTATGTTGGTAATTTTCACTGGAATTTGCATAACAATATGATCTGGGAAATAGCTATATTGTCAATCACTTATTGGAAATATATGCAAGGCAGAATTTGTAATATGTTGCATGACTATTGGTCTTGATTTCTGGTCCACATATAACTGATTTATGAAAATGCATCTGTCTCCACATAGTACCTCATATTGTGAAGCATTTTGATTCTGTGCACATCCTGTTTCCTCCTTAAGATTCATGGGCATTGACCTTGGGTAATCTCATATGTGGCAGGGCAGAGAAATCTATTAATAACATAATACTTAGCAGCTTAATGGTGCTTTAAATCTCCAAAGCATTTTACAAACTTGCTAATTAATCTATTAAATCAAAAGCAAACTTACTGAATTTCTAATTGCATGATACAAGCCCATTTGGAATGAAAGAAGTATTACAGGTTTGGTTTTTAACCAAAGGAGATAGAATAATTAGGGGATTCATTAGAGAAGTGTCTGTCACCATTAATGATGCAGTCATTGACACTGATACTCCACACTGCTTACCTAAAGGTAACACTCTCTAGTGTAATACACTTACAGACCCTAATCACTGAAGTGTCACAGGCACTGAACTTCCATATTTTCTACTCCAGTCTGTGCTCAGAATGCTTGGCAAGGACTTCAATTATTCTTATCCCTTCCATATTTTTACTGTTTTCACTATTTGATGATTTATACATCAAAGAATTCCTCATTCTAATATTCAGGTGTTTACATTTATTGATTAAACAGAGTATTACAACATACAAATTAACTTTGCTTACTGAGGCATCTATTGATTAATTATTTGTGTTAGTGAAGTTCCCAAGAATCCCAATCAAAATTAAAATCTCTTTATGCTAGGTAATGTACAAATCCACATGAAGACATGGTTCCTTCCCCAGTGTTTAAGTCTTTTCTTTTAAATATTACATATAAAAGGTAAATCATGTCCACCAATAGGAGGAAAAGGATATAAGGGGGCAGCTGCCATGGGGCCTGATGATTCTAAAAGGACCCAGGGCTATGAGCCACCACTGCTGCCATCACCATAATAGCAGAAGCCAGAGCCTCAGGCTCTTTAAATCACCACCAGAGCCCTATGCAACACAGTACTGAGGGCTCAATAAGTTAGGCTAGCCCCTAGTCCCACCCTTTCTGGGAAGCCAAGAGCTGACCCCCCCTCCCCTCCTCCTGCCACCTTTCCCAGGGCTCAACAAACTATTATCAGCCCTGAGGTAAATAAATCCTTGGTATATGTTGATTACTGCTAATTAATGGAGTCACTAGGCTGCATTAATCACATTGATCAACATATGAAATACTGTACTGTAATTATGGCATATTAAGTTATTATGAATAATTAAGAACTGATAACCTCTAATATAGTATGACATTCAGATTAGAGGCTGAGACTCCAAAAACAACAGTATTTTAAATGAAGTTATTGTTGATTTGGTAATTGGATTGAAGCAATTATCACTTACAGGACTGATAGGTCTAGGATTGTTATCCTTTTGTTTGACAGGGAATTAGACTTGAGTCCAAACTGCCAATACTAAATCAAAATCATTAGCACTCCTTCCCGTCCTCAAACTTGGGAAGAATTCAGACTTAAGTTGAACTGCACAATTCAGGGCTACCTCTGAAGAAGTCTGTGCTAAAACAAAGGCAAAAGTGCCTGAACTTCAGGAAAATGCAGGACCAGATTCATGGCCTGACCTATGAAATTAACAATGTCTTTCTCTCATAGTATCTGTAATCTTCTAGTTGATATTAGTTTTGAATTTTCCACAGAGTTCTGCATTTTCAGGAACCAGTAAAATATTTTGGTTGATGAACTTTGAAGACAGAGCTGAGAGAAATCAATTCAGGGTTTGACTACTCCAAAACCTCCTAGAAATATGCTTTGTAAAAAAACCTAGCAGCTAGTTTATTCTGTTTGTTCATTAAGTTAATCAAAAATAGCTATGCAGTGATTGGGTTTTAGAGCAGAAAGTAACACACTAATGAAAGAAGGCAGCCCAGCTGTACTACAGAGAGACAGTTTTAACGTCTACAGGAAAATCAACAACATATCCCTCTGCTTCAAACTGCAGCATATTTTCAGCATTTCTAAAACTGTTATTTCTCCTAAATCATTCAGTTGCATTATTTACTGGTATTTAATTACTTCTGATAGCTCAGGCCTTTTAAAGTTGTTATGCTATTTACGAGAAACTATATTCACCAGGACTACATTCACCCTTTAATTAGGGCCATTTTGCAATGCCCTGGAGTGTACATTTATATCCTAAAAATGTCAGCGCTTGTCACAGGAAGATCATCCCAGCATAAAGGGATTCTCAGATAGCACTAAACCAGCATAGTTAATCTTAAACCACACATCACTTGGAATGTGCAGGATGTGAACCATACTCCTCCGCATCCCATCAGTGTCTGACTACTGTTACTCCCTATCTGGCCACTGGCTTCTAGCATTATTTAAAGCAGCTTCTACCATATCGTGGAAAGAACATAAAGGCAACTTAAATTCAATGTCAGGAATACCCTTTTGAGCTTTACTTGGGATGAGGTCCTTAGTTCTCTATCTGTGAAGCAGCTGGAATGTTCTGTCAAGAGTTCTTTTCTATCATTTACAGTATCACAATTGATACCTATGGGGGGGAAAAACACTTTAATTCTGTTCTGAAAAAGAGCATGAGGCTTCAAGCAGGAAGTAATGCATGTAGACTCAAATCTGGAGGTGCTGCTAGAGCAATAAATCACATGCAACTTCTGGTTCTCAAGCATCTGTTTTGCATCCCTTTTGATCAAAAGTTAGTTTTGTAGTTTGAAACAGCTAAAACCATATAAGCTCTTTCTACTCACCAAACACTATGGGCCATGGCTGCTTAAGTCCCATGGTCCCTTTGTTATAGGAAGCTCATCCATGCTGGTCTTTTTTCTGTTAAGATTAATGCAGGTTATATTACTTTGATGTTCAGTTCAACTCTGAAAAGAGACTCTAGAAAAATGATAAGCTGGCATTCTAGATTTCCTACATTTACAAACAAAGATTTTCTTTTTACTAATTATGAGCCCTACAAATTGCCTCTGAGCCCCAACAGTCAAGTTAGGTCAATTTTTTCCTTCCTGGCCACCAGCCCCAAGAATAAGGATTCTACAGGCTCAGTTTCACCTGCACAAATCTGATTCCCATCTAGTAGTGCTGTACAGATGTATCCTACCTAGAGCATTATTTGGTCCGAACAGTCTTTATTACTGATGATTACACATGAAGAGAGAAAAATCTATCTAAAATTGTGGAGTGCTGGTTGAGTTTGCAGGAATATCAGTCAAGAAAACAGTCTCCCTCTTCACTGCTTACTTTTGTGCACTCTACCTCTTCCTATTTGTCAAACAGTTTGCAAGGCACACAAGTTTAAGAGTTATTTCCCCAAATCTATGAACATGTAATCTACTCAGTTCAAAAAACGAATAGCATAGTGCAAAATTCAGCTATTACAAAAGCAGGTACAAATTCACTGAGGTCATTGCAACTGTGTTTGTTCATGCTGAAACCAATCAACCACTCAGTCTGATGTAATGATTAGCACCACTGGAAAAGATGGCTGGTTATTTTAGGGACTGAGCAATTCTCATTGACTATGTTGGACTACTCCTGACATTTCTGTGGTACTGTGCCTGCTTGCACCAATGTATCCTAATTTTGCCCTGTACAAATTGTTAGCTAGCTTTTTTACCTTGCACTGGTTTGCATTTTCCAATGTGCTCATAGTAGACAAAACTACATTATCTTCATGAATATAATGAAACTACATGGCACAGGCAAAGAAATGACAATGAATAAGCAGTAACATTCATTCTGGAAGCATGGACTCAAAATTTTGGACATAGTCCATTTTGTGAGCTCTGTATTTTATTATTTGGGTGTCCCTGGAGACAAATGGTTCTAATCTACTGATGTTTTTCCAGCTGTGGAAAAAAGTTGGGAAAGATGAAGACATTTTTGAGTCTTATTATAGTCAAGTTATTAAATGGAGGATTAAGAACAAGTCTGACTACTGCGCAGAGAACAAAAAATTCAACATTAAATTCCTCTTATGAACCCAGTACCTAATACATCCCGTGAATTAAAATGTTTTGTCTGTTTCACCAATACAAAAGGGTCATTCAAATCCAGAATGTGTAATATAATAGGAATGAAAACTAATGTAATATAATATGAAAGGAAAGATATTGGTTAATTCAAGGGTCTGAAGATTGGCCTATTTCTACAGTGCTCAAAAGCAAACAGACTTGCTTCAGATCTTGTCAGGGCCCAGAACATGAACACTATGCCCTCACTTTTGCTTCTGAAACTCTTTTACATTCAAGGTACAGTTTCTCTTAATAAATAATTAATTCATTTTCACTGGACTACTGATTAATAATATTCGACCTTAATCCCTGGAACAAAAGACTAGTAGAAAGTACTGTGAACTGAACGGCAAATACCTTGTCTGTCAAGCCCAAGAAGTGACAGCCATTTATGTGTGTGTCATCTTGAGGAGCACATTTCACACTACTCAGAAAATAATCTGATATTTTTATCTCCTTCAATTTCCTGCACTACAACATCATATTTAGCAAAATTTTGACCCTCGGTCCCACCTACTCTTCTACAGAGGAATCTCAAAGAAGGAATTCCAGAGTTACAGATCTAGGAATACCAGAGTTAGAGACTTACTGGTCAACTGGACACCATGTGAAACAAAGTAACCAGTAAGGCAGGAGTAGAGACAAAAATGTTTTTAAACCAAATGCCGTACTGTGCCTGTATTACATCTTAAAGGTAGGCATATCTGGACTGCCTATCTGCACTCTACTACCCCTCCCTCATGCAGAGCACCCACTAATAGCTAGGAGTTGAAGATATAGAGATTTACCATTGCAGGCCCAAGGCAGCGGAGCAGAAGCAATATTGGGGTTTGCGTGCCTTTCCTGTAAGTTGTGGGTGCTGCTTTCACACACCTCTCCCCCGGCTATGAAGAGGAGAATGCAGTTTTTACCGCTATCCCCCCTCCCACCCATCTACCCCACCAAGAGAGGGACAAGTTTGCCTGGTTCAGGAAAGAAGCTGTCTGCAAAGAAGCTGCCCCTCTGCCTCTGGAACCTTGCCCATAATGTGAACGGCTGGAGCTGGAGCTCCATTTTGTTCAGAGCTACAAACATTTCAGAGTTACAATCTCCATTCCCAAAATGTCCTTATCTCAGAAATTCTATTGTATTTTCTTAGCCTTTGACCCAGTTAAACTACAAGTTGAACCTCTCTAGTCTGGCATCCTTGGGACCTGACTGGTGCCAAACCAGAGAATTTGCCGAACTATAGGAGGTTAATATTGTAGTGAGTTGGTCTATTTTTATTTCACAAACACAAATAAATAGAACAGCGCTTGCAATGTTGCTTAATAATGTGAGACTGCAGTGATTCATCCTATGTAAGCCTACACCTAGCAAAAGTTCTCTTCATAACAAAGCATTAGTATTATTACACAATTTTATTGTATTGGCATAAGGAAATAAGTAGATAAAGCATAAAAACATGTTTATGCTTAGCAACATTACCAGCACTTTCACTGCTTGCTGGTCTCTAAGGCTATATCTACAGTGCACATTTATTTGGAAGTAACTCATGTTATTTTAGTTAGCTGGATGTCCACAAAATAGCAAGCCCATTATTTTGAAAAAAATTTGAAATAACGGGCTTCTTACTCTGATTTCTGTAACCCTCATTTCCTGAATAAGTGAAATTGAAGGAAGAGTGTTCTTCCTTTGACTTCTTCCTGGGTGAACAGTGCCAAAAACCGAGTTAATGTATTTCAGCTGAAGTTGCGTATCTTAACTCGACTTTAGCCCATAGTGAAGACGGACCCTTAGAAGACATTTTGGGGTTATTTAGAGCTAAACAACAGCATAGAACACAGAGACAGGACTGGTGGCTGTAAACAAACTTTATGGGACAGCGGGAAATTGGCCACTCCTATGAGAAGTGGACATCCAGGTAACTAAAATCATGCTTGACCACAGATGTTGCTGGACCAGAGAGCTGGATTAGAGAGTCAACCTGTACAATAAAATCTCAGAAAGCTCTATTTATGTAAAGGATCCTAACTGAAGACATTGGAAAAAAAGAAAATTAATGTGAGACAGTTTAATGAGAATCTTAACATTTCAGATGGCAAGGAAAGAAAGTCTGAAGATGAAAGGAAAAAGGAGCAGTACAAGTGAATTCAGATGACTTTCAACTGAGTTTTGCTATACTATTTTTGTTCCAATTACAAGAATATTAAAGTACAACTAGGAGTCATAAAATTCATGTTGGCACAGATGTGCCTAGATTTTTACATGACTACTTATTAGAACCTCTAGAGAGAGATTATAAATTAGTAACTGAATTGTCTTATTTGATACTTCAAAAATAGTTCTAAATAGACAAAAGTTTTAGTAAGAAGGCATCGGCATGCTGGAATGATTAATGGCTTGTGCACATTGAGTACTATTTCAACTACTTTTCTCTATTACCAGGCTACTCAAAGTCAGGAAGAAATAGATGAGGTTTCTGAAAAAAAAAAAAAAAAAAAAACACTTGATAGGTGACCTTTCACAATTCTTTCCAAAGCAAATATGTAAGATAAGAAAATGAGATTGAATAAAGGTTTCATAAGAAGATCATACTGGGTGAGACCAAAGGTCCATCTAGCACAGTCAGTATCCTCTATTCCTGCAAAGGACTGGATGCCCTCAAATCTTTTTGGTTTCAATGGGAATTGAGAGCTCAGCACCTCATAAAAGCAATCTCACTCTTCCTCATGTGCTATATTTAGACTACAGAGTTTTTCCATGATACGTCTGGTATTCCGGAAAAACTCCGCTGCGTTTAGGGAATGTGTCTGCTCTTCTGACTTTTTTCAGAAGAGCAGATGTGCTCTTTCAGAAGCCCTGTAATTCCTCATTTTATGAGGAATAAGGGCTCTTCCAAAAGAGGAGGTTTTTCCGAAATTTGGCCCCAGGTAGACAGGCCAAATTTCAGAAAAGCCTCTTCTGAAAAAACAATCAGAAAAAGGTGCACAAATTGCAGAGCACAATTGGCATAACTTTTCCCCCCCCAAAAAATGGCAGTCTAGATGTAGCCATGACTATGTCCCAGAGACCAGCAATGTTTACTCTAGTGCCCTGCATACAAATCTCTAGATTTAATGCCTTTTAAGAAAGCACAGGAGTAAGATGGATATTAATACAACAGATTGGTAAAGTGGACTAGAGCATGCCTTTTTGTATCTGTGCATGGTGAGTTTCTCTATCACTCACCTTCTCTTCATAAAATGGGAGCTCTGATGGTATTTATCTCTCCTTCCCCTCAACACTACATAAAGTCCTTTCTGTACACTTTGGGATTCCTGCAGGAAAAGGGATTTTAAAGTCAAAATAGGCCAGAGGAAAAGTAAACCAGTTGCATCATCCCATCTCAATTCCTATGGAACTTGTCCAGGAGAGGAGGCAAGTAGAACAAGCTGTTTTGGCTTTATGCCAAAAGGAAACCTCAGTTCTTTTAGTGCAGCTTCTGCATAATACAAAGAGGCCAGACAAGAGGGTAACAATATGGTACAAAATCTCCAAATTCCCCACTTCAGATTAAAACTGCAAGCAGAGCAAATCATGAGAAACAATGGGGAGGGGGGAGAACCAGGGGAGGCCAGAAGGACAGCTCTGTAAACAAATGCAAAGAAAAAAAGTATTTGATTTTAGCTGTACACCACTGAAAAGTTCCTGCCAGTAAAATTAATACCAATGAAATGATTAAGTGAAACTGTCAGATGACGATGGCAGGAATTTTCATAAAGGCTTAATTAAAGGGCTCAGGTGCTCAATTTTGATTTTTATGGAAGATCAGCTTTCCTTCATTTTCCTGCCCTTTTTATTTATTTATTTACAGATGGTCTAAAGAGAAAGTAAATACTATCCCATTTGCTCTTGACTCCAGACTGAACACGTCTAACTTTATTCACTTTCTTGGCTACTTCTATGACAGAGTGGCCATTCTTTACTGGACAGTTTCTAAAAATTAATATTTAATTAAGATTACTTTTTTCTTCCATAAACGCTTTAGGTATAGATTCAAAAAGAAAAAAATAAACTTTGATATTTTATCTATACTCAAAAATGCTTCTATTATTAAATGGGAATTTAAAATCTGTTTACATCTCAGCTTGTACAACCAAAAGCATCCACTCTGCTTCTATAGAGGTACAATTTATACTCAATACCACATATCTGTGGTATTTTAACGGAACAGTGCAATGCTTAAGATGCAAAGTTAAAACATATTGAAATTTAAATGTCACCATTTCCATTTGTCCTAAATGTTTCAAAATCTTTTTTAAATTGCTCTGTGCAAAGTGTGACTTATTCCCTCTAAATTTATTCACAGCACTTAGCTCAGGCAGTAAATATTTGAATAATATTAGAAGTAATCTGGTACTTAATATTGTTAAAACCAAAGGATTAACCTTAAAAAACCACTATGTTATACTAGGTGTTCATTTTTTAAAAACTGTAACCTAAAACTAATTGAATTTTTACAATTTTGGGGAGATGGGGGCATTTTTACAAGGAGTTATTTTCATTTGGCATTACAAAGACAGTAAGCTTTCAAATAAAAAGGGATATTACCATATACTGCAAGACACATGCACAACACCACTGCTTTTAAGAGTACAGTAATGCATAGACACTTGGGCCCAGAGTGTCCCACTCTGATCTGTAGAGGAATCTTCCTTATTATGCAGCCCTATTATCTTATTGGCCTACATGGTAATGCGTTAGAAACTTGGGAAACACGCATTAACACAGTGGTCCCCAACACGGCGCCCGCGGGGCCATTTTTGTACACCCGCCAAGTGCTCGGGGCTGGCCTGGCCCTGGGCACATGGTGCATGCGCTGTGGCCGGAGCCGGCCCTGGCGCATGGTAAGCGCCGGCCCCGGGAGCGCGGCGCTTGCGGGGGGGGCACCCCCGAGCACACGGCTATGAGGGGGCTCCTCCCCCCAGCACGCGGCTATGGGGGGAGCCGCCCGCCCCCTGCCCAGCAGGTGAACGGCCACGCCCCCTGGCGTCCGGCAGCCTCTAAAGGTTGGGGACTACTGCATTAACACTTTGTTGCTTATTTGAAAACACAGCCTAGGACTAGAACTAAACTGGAGATAACCTTTCATGGCATTACTCCCACCCAACTGAACTATCAGGGACATAGACTATAGGCCCACAGTCCTGCATGTGTGTCACAGAAGAGGGCAAGCACTGTAGCACTTGCCACAGCACCAATTAAATGGGATAACTTCTAGTAACAAATTTTCAGATGCTTCTTTTCCCAGAACCCTTTTGTACAGGTTTTTCTGGATAAGCAGGGGCCTGGACAAGAATTTACATCTGACAGCTTTTGCAGGCTCATTGAACATACATATATCATTCAGATTAAACCATATCAACACAAAATTATCAGTAGCACATGCGCCATTTCAATGAAAATCTATGCACTGCAGAGCCACTTGAATAAATGTATCCGTAAGTACTTGGCAATGGCAGAGTTTCTCTGGCCCCAGGGCCCTGCCAGAGACACAGCTCTTCCAACCCTGCTGCTGAAGAAAAGACCGTTACCTTCATCCATAACTGGTGTTCCTTGAAATGTGTTGCTCATGTCCATTCCATAGAAGACCTGCATGCTTGCCATTTACACCAGAGCTGGAAGTTTTCCCCTCAGTGTTATGTACAGGGGACTGGCTCTGGTGTCCACTGGAGTGGTGCCTATATGGTGTGGTAAAAAAATGCACCATTAACTACCCATATCCTCAGTTCCTTCTTGCTGGAAATGCCATCAGTGGGAAAGGAGGGCAGGTCATGGAACAGACATGAGCAATGCATCTCAGGAACACCAGTTATGGACAAAGATAACTGTCTTCTCAAGTGCTTACTCATGTCCATTCAATATTAGGTGACTCCAAAGCAATACCAACGGAGGCAGGTAGGAGTTCACAGATGTGAAGAATGCAACAGTGCAGTGAATGTGTGGAAAAAAAAGACGATGTCATGGTTCTGCAGTTGTTCTGTACAGGAACATGCACCAGGTAGGCTGCCAAGGACACCTGCACTCTGATTCAATGGGCCCTCACAATTGGTGGTGGAGGGACCTGTGCTAACTCAAAACAGGCCCTGATAACTGGCAGAGATCCAGTTAGAAAGCCTCTGCAAGGACAATGGAAAGCCCTTGATTCTGTCTGCTGTTGCAATAAAAAGCTGCATTGACTTGTGGAAGGACTTTGTATACTCCAGGTAAAACGCCAAAACACAACTGACATCTAGGGCATGCAGCCTCCTTTCCTCAGTAGTGGGATATAGCTTAGGGTAAAACACGGGGAGGAAGATGCTCCAGTTTGCTTAGAAGGACACCACCATCTTTGGCAAGAAGGTTGGAGGGGGCTATAATTGGACTTTATCCTTCTAGAAGACTGTATACGGTGGTTCTCATTTCAGGGCTTTAAGCTCTGGCACATTTCACTGATGTTATTGCCACAAGGAACATGACCTTCCACAAGTGGGAAAGTGAGCAGGAGCCCATGTGCTCCAAGGGGGAACCTATGAACCTGCTAAGAACCATTACTTATAGACATACCCATAAAAAATTAATCTGCTGACTTGGAATTAGTACATGTAAGATATAAAATCAGATTTTCTAAGGATAAGGGAAGATATACCAGGGATTTGCTTTTATTCAGGAGCATTGTACACACAATTATTTAGAAGAAATATTAGTAGCAGAAGTTAAAAACATTGCCCTAGAAAAGGCAAATAGCAAATTTCCTCACCCATACAGTTATTTCATGAATACAAGTCATAGGTTATCTTTTTTCCTTAGTACTAAAAGAAGAAACATGATCAAGTGAGTACTTAGTGCAGATTTAGATCTATTTCACTCATTAGGTACCATAGCATTAATCTGAACGTTTCCTAAAGGTTTGACTCAAGTTGTAGAAAAAATTAGTCACATAAGCACAGAGCTCTAGTGCAGGGGTGAGGAACCTTTTTTGGTTTGGGGCCACTGACGCACAGAAAAATCAGTTGGGGGCTGCACACAATGAGAAGCAGAAAGATACTCCTCACATTCCCCTCACACACCAGAGCCTGGGCCAGGGGGGAGGGGACGCACCCAGACTAGTAGATTTGATGTGCTCTACCCTGCAGGTGGGCAGTTGGGGAGCTGGAGTGCCATCATGCATTCCTCAATGCTGAGCCTCAGGAACTGGATCCAGGCAAGCCGGGGGCCCCATCTGGCCCAGGTTCCCCACACCTGCTCTAGTGGATAAAACCAATATTTTGCTGCATTTAAGAAAAATTGCCTGTTGTGCAATTTACACAAAATATTTTCTCCAAAAAAGGCAGAACAAATCAAGAGATTTTTGGTTTCTTTTTTTTTGCAGAATCGATAGTGCAATAATTGGGACATCTCATATAAACATTATCCTAAATTTAATTTTTACTATGCTCAGTGATGGTATTTCAAGCAGCAACTGATTTATTCATGGTGGCATCCAGTACCAATCTTTCCTAAGGTGTCAGAAAGGTCTTTTACATAGGCCATTAGATAGCCTGACAATGTAGGACTACACATTGTGTAGGTTTTACTCTGTTTACAAGCTTTACAGATCCGTTGACCTACTAAACTGCTGAGTTTGAATAAAAGGTAAAAATGGAATTTTTTTCTTTATGTAGGAAGAAAAAAAATCTATTTGAAAGCAATGCTAGACAAATCAAAATATAATATTATAGCTAAAGAGTAAAGTGAACAGTGTTTTCATGAAAACATGAATACTAGTTTTCAGTTATTTAGGGCTGATTGATTTGTATTAAAAATCATACAGAGCCTTAAACATTAAAGAATCAATGTTAGAAGTTTCCGGCTGGTACATACATAATGTGTGTTCTAATACAGAAATCAGCAGTTATCTGAAATAGTTCATTCGAGAATAAAACAGTGTTATGCAAAAGAAACACTACCATTAGCACTCAAACAGTGAGTAGAAGGTAGCATTAGAAAGAAAGTGCACAGCAGAAAGTTTTCTGGTTTTCGGGACAAGTTCAATTTAAAATTCTCTCTTCAGATACACATTTGTCAGGAAGTGTAGTGGGTTAAGATGGCTTCTGTTTTCTTTCCAAAATCAGTCTTTCCTTTAATTGGTTTTCAGTAGGATGCTTATTCTGACATGTAGAGATGATACATCAAGGCCACAATAATTGCTCCTATTGCTGGGATCACCCAACTGCTCCACCAACTAGAAGGAATCACAGTGAGAATTATTTTCATGCAATGTCTAGCAGCTACTAAATTACAGATTTGATATTTGATTGGTTATGCAAGTTTATTTTGTAATCTCTACCTTTTTACCCTTCAAATGTGGATAAGAGAGCCTTTAATCGAGACAGTGTTTGGGTTGGTCTAGAACCAAAAAGGTTCACATTATCATGCATGCAACTAGCATGATAATGTGAAAAGTTTTTATAACTATGCAAAATCTAAGCTTGCTGATTGGAGAACAGTTTGATTCCAGTCAAACTTAAAAGCTATGGCTTGTCACCACAGAACAGTGCCACCCATTGAAAAGCAGATACAGATAAGCTCTCTCAGTAAGGCTTTTGGTTCTGCAATTCCTCAACTGGAAGCAACGTGGAAGGTTCTTTAGGTACAGGATTCCTTTATATAATGAACAGTATTAATGCATGAAGCACCTGCTGGATTGTGTTGAAATCCCAGAACATTTGAGAATATTTTTAATACTTCTATAAGTGCTGCTCTGTGTTTAGCCCGTCATCCTCTTTGTATTTATTTTTGCATGTAACTTAGACTTTTCTGAGTTGATGCTTATAAGGCAGCCAGAGTTGCCACTGACAGCAGGAGCACTAGCAAGTAAGATCACCAAGTATCTCCTGCATTAGTAGCACTTCTGAAGAAGAGACATGAAGAGTTGGTATCAAAGAAGCTCAACTCAACTTCATGATGAACTGTAAAATCTTCTAGGTAACAGGACATTCCCTAGAGAGTGTTGATAAGCAAATCTGCTATTAACACATGACAAGAGCCTTCAATTCCTGGGACCTAATTCCACGGGAAGTTATACCTAGTTCTTCTCTGTGTGGACACACTCATTCTGGAATAAAGAGCATCCACACAGGAAGATCAGGAATGCTTTTTTGTTTTAAATTCACTCTTTACCTTTCTCTAAGTCAGGGGTTGGTAATAATTTTTGATGGGGGGCCAATTCAGAAATTTTTCAAATGGCCCCAGGCCACTGGAAGGGGAGGGGCCAGGACATCTTTCGTGCTTGCCCACCCGCAGACCCAGATCAGTCTGGGGATGAGGAGCATGCAAAGTCCGTGCCTCTGTTCCCTCACCCCTGAAGAGAACCACTAACTGTTCTGAACAACTGGCAGTTCCCTCTAAGTGCCCGAGGCCCTTGCGGTGCAGGAGATTTTTCGTGCTCCCCACTGCACCCAGGTCAATTAAGGCCTGGGGGAGAGGGAACATGTGAAGCTAAGCAGCAGCTAGCAGTTGACTAAGCACCAAGCTGCTTGCAGGGCAGGAAGAGACTTCTCACGCTCCCCCACCCCCAAGCCCTGATTGGCCTGGGGGAGGGGAGGTGGCAGGGCCTCCATGGGCCAAATCATCCCACTTGGCAGGCCAGATCTAGCCCACAGAGGCCTTTTTGCCCACTCCTACGCTAAGGGAGCTTCCTAGCATTGATAAGCCCCCAATACCTACCACATTATTTCCTATAGATAGAACCTCTAAGCCACATTTCTCTAATCTGACAATACCTCTGGTCCAGCATAGTCTGCGATTCCCTTGGTGTTTCAGGGCTGAAGCACTCCTGAGGTGACAACCAGCAGGCTGGGGACAGGAGCATGGCCGGATGAGGGACAAGTAGCATAGCAGTGCCCTGGGGGTGTAGCACCCCTTGGAAACCGAGGGGCCAGCATTGACTTCCCCTGGCCTAGCAAATTCCCTCAATTTGGACTTGTCAGGTCCAGAGGATGCTGGGCCAGGGAGGTTCAATCAGTAGTACTTAACAGTTTTGGGTTTTTTTTGTTATTTGCTTCATTGAATTAGGAAGGGATAACCATGAAGTATCATTGTGCTTTAATTTGTGATATTAAACGTCATACTATACCTGGAATTAGACTCCATAGTGGTAATAAGTGTTCCCTGAAAAACAAAGTCATACTTAAGATACAGAGCATGAGTTGCCTCCCTTTTCCCCCAATCTCCACACAGAGAACTGGGCGGGATTCATCGTAACACTTCAGTTTATACCTTTTCCCACCAGCCAGCCTCATCAAGCCACAAATGCAGTTTTTATGCCTGGATGAAGTCAGCCATAATTTAAAACTTCTGTCGTAAACTGCTCATCTGTTGTAAACTGCTCATCAGATAATATTCTGATGCCATGTTTCCTGCTGCAATTTATACCTGGTTACAAAATAGTTCCCTTAAATTATTGCCAAGTATTTTAATGGCTCTCTTACCAATAAGTGATTTTATAGCACTAACTTCTGCTTTATACCAAGATTATGACCTGTTTAGATGTTTATAGTGACACTTTCTTTGGGCCTAAGCTTTCCATGCTTAGTTTCAGTATCAGGGGAATATCTGAAAGGTTGAATTATTGCAGTTGAAAAAACAACTTTAAGACTAAAGCTTTTCGGTCACCAATAACTAAAGCTAAATACTCCAATGTATACTTAAATATTCCCTGTTGAATATGGTGGTATGATTAATTCACTTGATTAATCATCATATTGAAGTTTTGTGCTACTTCAACTTTAAAGTTTACTATAAACTACATTTTTAAAAAGGCCACTGCTATCAGGCTGTCTTATTCAAACTTAAAAGTAGTTGCTATAGGCAAAAACAAAATATTAAACATTTAGACCTCGATCAACAATTAAGCAGATAAGTATTTTTTCCCTCCCCTACCAATATTACTGAAGTGACACACACCTAAGACAAGGGCACATAAAGGGAGGTACACGCTGAGAGCCATGCACTGCTTCACATCCAATCAAAGCACTGCTATGGTTCAGTCAGCACACTCCACAAATTCTAGGTACATAAACACACTGAGCAAAACCACCCTATTTTGGAAGACCATCTTGGTTAGGACAATCCTGCGGCCCACTGAGATGAAGGCCCTCTCACTAGCCTACGTTGCTTATCATTGGTTTACAGTCATTGACATTTAACAGGTATGCTGCTAACCTGTTAACCCAGCCCTTAACAGTTTCTCCAGCCAAATGGTAAGATCAATTTTGAGACTTCATTCTTCCTCAATCCCATCTATCTCAGGAACATCTGGGGACAGGTTTATCCCCAGCTGTTCATACAAACTTAAAAAAGTCAACTGAATCACCTCTGCCTACAAGTTTTACTTGCTACACTTAAATTTTATTAAAAACTAGAAAAAACAATTCATTTGTACATTTGATGGCACTTACTACACAGTGAAACCAAGAAAGACTGGAATTAATGTCCTTATTTGGTTTTTTGGGGGGAGGGGGAAGAGCTCAGCAAGAATGAAAGGAAACATGCAGCCAACAGTAAATGATTACACTGATTGATGGGGAGGGGGGAGTAGGGGTCTCACGGCAAGCACAGTACTTAAAACTTAACCTTCATGTAGTTTACTTTTAAAATGGAACCTTAATGTTCTTTTATCTCTCAGTAGGGACAGTGTGTACAAAACATCTCAGTGTTTGAGATTTCAAAACAAGGACACTTACGGTTGGTTTCTGAACTTTCTCTCTGTCGTCCTACAAGCAAAGAAGGGGAAAAAGGGTTAGACAAGAATGAAGTGTACAAAAAGGGACTTTATAAGAAGGTCGCGAGTTTCAGTTAGTACTGTTCCAATAACTCTCCTTCATTTTTTCTACAGTATAGCCTTAAAGAATTTGAAGACATCTTCACGAACTTATCTTACAGTGTAAGTCACAAACCATTTTATTTGCTTTTATCATGCACTTACAAATAATTTCCAGAATGCTTCCTAATTCAACTGAACTTAATGCATTTAATAATTTCATGCTTCAGAAGATAATTTCCTAAAATCCTAAAATATTCACATGCATTTGAACTATTGCATACCAAAAAAGGGTAATTTTTCAGTTAGTTATTTCCTCCCGCTATTCACACAAGTATAAAAGATAGAGGCAAGCTAATCAAGGTCCCATGTGCTCTGCAGCATTTGGTTGCAATGGCTCTGAATTCTGCAGAACTCTAAGATAGCAGATGAAGTCAGTGGCAGATTCATATATGTTTTAAAAAGATGTTTATAAATATATTATTTATGAACCACGCATACAGAATTAAGCCAGTGTTTTCTATTTGCTATACCTCAGATAAAATGACCACATCTGAGACACATGCAGTAGTTAATAGCAGTAGTAGTACCGCCATAGCAATTAGGAGTTCTAGTTATGGACCAGGGCCTCATTGTACTGATGTACAAGTAGAACAAAAAAAGAAAGTCTCCCAACCATAAAGAGCTTACAATCTAAGTACAAGATGAAACAAGATATGCAAACAGGGGAAATACAGTAAAACTCTGTTGGTCCGGCATCCAATGCTCCGGCACTCCTGATGGTCCGGCACCATCAGGAACCCGGAAGTGCTCCGCGTAGCTGGAAGATTGGAGCGGTTCTGCACCTGGCTTCCCTGATTCAGCCACTGCTGAAACTGATCAGTAGGTGAATCGGGGAA